TCACATGTGTCCTTATCATCAGGCCTTCATCGGCAGTGATCACAAATCACATTTTACTGGATGGTAGTGTCGTCCATTAACGCTGTCAAGCATAGACTGCTGCAAAATGGACTCACACTACTGACCGGCCACAGACTAGACTGAAATGATTTACAGATTAGTTGCGTAACGGAGCTGGTTTTCAGACTAGTTAGCTGTCGCTTGATGAGCCAGCCTTCAAAAACATTTCGTGTACTTTCTGAACTGAAAGCGTGAACAATGTCTGCGTCCTAATTGAAAAATCAGACACAGTATGTTCGGGTAGTGAAAGTTATTTATTCTAATGCTGTTTGCATGTACTTCAGGTCACAGGGGGGCGGAGCTCGAGAGAGCCTCAAGGCACAACAGGACGAGTGAGTTGCATAACGCCTATCGGTGCGCACTCCCTACTACTTCTAATTCACCTGATCGCAACCGACAGGACAACATGCCCGTGGCTCAGAAGTTAGGGCCGTTGGACTTCTAACCAACAGGTCGCGAGTTCAAGTCTTGGGGCTCGTACCTTGTCTTTGTCGGCAATGCTATCCTGCCTATATTACGCGCCGCTATGTGACTGCTGGTTGGGCTCGAGAGAGAGAGCGCCAAGGCACAACCAGACGAGTGAATTCTGTAACGCGATCACTGTGCGCCCCTCTACCAAGTTAAGATTTCTGCCGGACCCTAAGACCTACAGTTTACGGGTACTTGCATTCTCCTTTTGTTATTCCTTTCCTTCTCAAAGGTGTCCCGTTGCTAACGTAATACGGAAACTTCAGGTATGGCGAGTCTTCTGCAACAAAGAGCTTTATACAAATCCCAAGTAGCTCGCTTTGTAAGCAAAGAGGAGGAAAGGGCGCATGTCGATTGACCCGTACAGCCGGCGGGGGCACAGCTGCGATAACTCAGGCGTTGTGCATTCGGTGCCAGTCCAAGAGGTCAGCGATTAGAGTTCGTTTTGCAACAAGTGATTTTTTGTGATGTTGAGTCCCCTTGTTATACTGCCTGCACTCAAGCATCAGTGACTCGTAAGACAGTCCATGTTCATGGGGCGAGTAACCTGCCTAGGTTGGTTGTAAATCTCCCTAAAGTCTCCTAATTCATTGGACTATTCGAGATTTGTGGCTGAACCTACTTACCAATACCGTTTTACCTGTAAAACCGGAAAACGGTACGATGGCTTAGACCATGAAGTCGAGCAGCTCAGGATGATTACACCTATAGCAGACAGCCACAACTCAGACAGACATGCGTCACAGCCGTCCATAGCCCGCTTGAATACACTATCACAGAGGCCTAGACAGAGAGTGAGATCCTGGTTACCACGACTTTCTGTACAGAACACCGAAATAAGGGATTTAAAAGAGTTGGCAGCCAGAGGAGAGTGCCTCCGGCGCCGGGAGAACGGCGTTAAAAATGTCTGTCAGGGAACGCGTCCGAGTCTTAGGCCAGGGCACGTCTGACTCGGCCTCGAATCTGATTGGTCGGTTAGGAAGCCGAGTGGACGAATGCCAGGCAGCCCTGGTGCGCACGTGCAGACACTCGCGAGAGGCCCAGCGTTAAGGCAGGCGCCCGGTGCAAAGCCACTAAAACACAACACCTCAGATAGTGCAACACATGGAACAGTTTGACTGTCGCGAACATCCACGTACATTGCTGTCCCACGTGGTGGACGTAACTTTAACCTGCGCTCGAGTTTGTTTATAATTAGGAAGACTTGCGTAGCACCCACCCACCTCACTCGCTCACACTCCCTACATCCGCCGCATTTAGATAGCGATCCGGGATCAGGACAGCGGGAGATGGGCGAGTGGATCGTCCACTCGAGCCATGCACTAACTGCTTCCTAACTCTGTAAGAAAAGATCCTCACTGGGGGGTCTTGGACCTTTTGCCGACAGCCATCAGGGCCATGTCTGGCGTCCTTGTGCGTGGTCCCGTTGCCTCAAGGTCATTCACCTTCGTAAAGAGCGATTCCAGGCGCGCTGACCTGCAGTCAATCGACCGACTTCAACTCAAACACGTGCGTCCACAGAGTCGCATCTGCCCATGCGCCGGTTAAATACACCATCCCCCCTCCCGCGAACGCTACGTAGACCTCGGAAAATTCAACGCACACCAACTGGAGACCACATGAGCCTGCCCCACAAAACAACAAAAGCTGCTGCTACCTCTCACTCACTAAGCCTCAGGCATGACTGGACGCAGTCAACACCAGCCCTGGCTTCGCCAGCGACCGCTACCACCTGAGATGTCAACAAATCCCTCATTCTGGTGACTACTGCCTTTTCTTACAACGCGGGATTTCGCTTGACTATTGTTACTCTCTGAAAGTCTATTTCATTGTTTACACGGTACAAATTGGCGATTCCGACATGATTCTAACGCGCAACCGCCAGACGTGGCTGACCACAGCCGTCACGAAATTGGCGGGGAGAGGTGTCGGCAACAGATCTCCCAGGAACAGCAGCATCATAAAGACTATATCGTGTTTCACTGTTTAAAGGGAGCAATCAGCGGTGGGTCCGCGGTGGATCGCCACACATCCCCATTCATTCCCCATACATAAGCGTCCCGCCGACTGATTGGAAGTGAGGTTGGACCGAGTGGCTCTCTTAACTGGTACCACACATCTGCTAGTTATCCATACCACATGACTGGAATTCACTAAAAACCACACTTCTCATACAAGACCTGTACACTCTCAGGCACGACGCTTTCCAAATTTGTCGAACAGTAGCTTGTGATGAAGTTGGGATGTTTCATTGGGGTTTGGCGTGTATGCGGGTGACTGAATGGACCCACGTACAGCACAGAGCAGTATGCTTGCACCTGTGTAATGCGGTGGCTTAAGGGGCAACTGTGCTACTACGTTCTGCCGTGCGTATGGAGGTGTGACAATTTGGCCAAATAGGCACATGCGGCTCCCGCGTATTCGGAGCACTGTCGTAGGGAAGGATTGTGTACGGGATGTTGGCCGATGCTCCGGACACTGATTTCTGCGGCACGCTGCGATGGATTCGCAATTGACCGACAAGGGACATACATGAGCGAAGTATTCGGTATTTATGTAGACAGGTAGACACTGAGTCCACACTTCTGGTGATAGTGGTGTTAGCGGGTGTCTTCCGTGCCTTGGCGACGTTCCCGTTGCATCGGCAGCGAAGGCGCCCCAAGACGGAAACTTGGTCTGAGACGCACTTTTGCAATGAAGGCCGAGAGCGATCTGTCATTTATTTGTTCGTCTAACGTCTGATGGGCGGATGGCAGATCGATGTCCATTGGTCGAGTCCTCAGCGAGGTGTCACGCTTCCTGAAGTAGACGCGAAATTCGGTCATCCGACCGGCCGAAGTCACTCACGCACTCGAAATCGAAGTTCTTCTCGAATGTGGACGAGCTGACGGCTGCCAAAGGAAGCTTTTCGTCGTCCCATAGCAAGATCATGTTCACAGAACCTCGTGCGAACCTGCTTGCCGTGTTCACTACTATAATTGACTTGGCCGCAGTTGCATTCTATCCGACAACACTGCATTTCTGATATCGTCAAAAACAGGGCCTCGAAGACGAATTCTCCGCATATTTGGGAACTTTAAGAGAGCAGTCCCACCAGGTACCAACGCTCGCGAGGTATTTGCTCCTTTCGTAGTAGGCTTGCATCCCCGGTCACGAGTTTCGGGGACATACCACGAGGACGGCACCTCCGTCGATCGAATCAGGCATTGCAGCGAATCCGGGAAAAGATTGCCGCCATCCGCTGAAAGCAATGCTCCCCCCTAGGATCCATCGCCAGCCAATTAATTTACTGAAACAGGCTCCATCGGTCTAGCTTTCCCTGCCCGTGGTTCTCTGGGGGTTGTATTTGGTGCGGTCGTTATTAACGACTTTGTTCGCTCCAATGGGTACCCGGTCCGGAAATTTGCTGCAGACTTGTATGACCACTGGATTTGAACGACACGCAGCCTGGCGCAGATTATTCATAAGCCACCACTGAAGTTTGTAAACAGGTTTTAAGTCGGCCGTCTAGACTGAAAATCAGGGGATGAAGTGTTCCCCAATCAGTCATCGTATAGCGTATCTGAATCGTCCCCCCCCCTCCCATAAATCCCGATTGACGCAGCATCTCACTAGAGATCAGTGTACCGATGTGAGACATGGTCAAGTAGTTCAGGACGACGAGATCTCACCCAATCACCAGTACTGTGGGCTGCTGGTTCATGTACACAAAGTACCACGGTTGATATGTGCACCCGACCACATGAGCTCCAAAAACGCGTCTAAACGGTAAGCGCCGAGGGGACAACAAACTTCATTTACAAAGAGAAATTCTAATCAATATTTGCGATGAGGTACAAACTCTAAAACACGCGCAATACATATGCGCCAACAGGCCTTCAGCGTCATTTGATGTACACCTAAATCGATGCCGTTTCCATAAATATTGGCCGCAGCAGCAATAACGTGAAAGGGTCTGATGACAGGTCAGAGGTGACAGTACAGTGTGCGCTCTCAAGGGAGATTCAAAACGTCCAACGGGTCTACATGATATTAAAAGGTGACAAAGTCTGTGAGCGGGCAAAATAAATTGCTGACGGACAAAGTGTGCCAGTTGTTTTCAGTCATGATTTCCTATTTACGAGGTGGGAGAGGGAATAGAGGTCAGGATATCAAGAGAGTACGGTCGTTGTACAGGGGTCAGGGGGGGGAGGTGACGGAAAAGAAGCCAAGCATAAATTTTGGGGCGTAAACGAAACGGAAGGCGACGACCATGACTCCTAGAGGCCTCCAGTAAGAGGCGTCCCAGAGAACTGGCATAATGAGGGAGTTGATAGGCGGCATCTCGAGAAGGGCCGAAGGAGGTGGGGAAGGGCCGACGTCCGAAATGCAAAAATCACAGATGAGACTACTAAGAGGCCCTTCCATAAGACAGACACAAATGAATGGTTTTGCTGGGAAAGAGGGGGGAGATCAAAACAAGACTGGTTACTTCAGAGTGAGGGAATGTAGGCCATGCCGCGGAATTTGAGATCTACGGAATCGTCACTTGGGACAGACTTTGAATTTAAGTTTCGACCGACCACAGGCGAGGTTTCCGGTCGCACAGCCGAGGTTGACGTTCTGTTGTGAAAGGGAACAGGACCAGAGAGACTGACTCGTCGACGCAAAGTCGACGGCGTGTGCAAAGCAGGGGGAATACGCGGTGAAGATGAGGTGTCCGGTCGCATGGGCGCACCGGAGGACTTGCGTAACCTCGCCTGTTTCCTCCGATTAACTGGAGGGCGGGAGAGTGGGCGCCGACCCTGCGTCGGGCGAGAGACCGTGAGTGCCGAGCGATGTTGGTAGGTGACAGTACTTAGGGATGCCATGGGTTTCTCGTCCGCATGCTCGTCAGACATGACCAGGTCGCCCTGTTCAGGCAAGAGGGAGGGGGCATTGAGACCGCTGCCGTTAGCAATCCCCTCATGCTCCTCGCCCTCCTCTAGGTCCAGGGCGCCAGAGCCATCATCATAGTCGCGGTCAAATATGGCCCTGCCACCTGAGGAGACATGGTTGCTACCGGAAGTAGAAAGGAACGGTGAGGTGGGGGAAACGGGCTGGGAGGCACTAGTTGCAGAGCCCAGCAGTGCACTGGATTGGCCGTCCAGGAAGGTTGAAGGGGCGGACTCGCCGAATAATGTATTGCCGGCAGGTTCGCGCATCAGCATCGAGTGACAGGGCTGGTTATGCAACCGATGGCCGAGGGAGTGGGACTGAGGCAGATCGTCAAGACTGCCAGAGAAATAAGTGCCAGACTGGGAAGAGCATGACACGGAGTTCCTGATACCCCTTGAAATAGGAACAAAAAGGTATGACAGAATCCGGCTTAACTAGTTAAATAGGACACTCCTGTTTAGGTCGTTCCGTCTACTACGGTTAAGTAGCGTTGCCTGTGTACTTCATTATGACAAGCGTGACGTTAAGGGATCTTGGCTTAATATTAAGAAAAGAAACACCACCCAGTTCTGAAAATTAGCAAGAGGATAAGGGAGGCTAGTCCTGGAAGTTCCCGATAACAGACCTTTCGACGCAGAGGTTGCAGTCTGCAGCCAAGTTTTGCAGACGGTTAGTCAATTTTCATTGCGTGTATAGTAAAGGGTTGACATGTCATGTGTTCTGCTTAGCTTCATGCTAACTTCAGGAGGCAGAGTATGGCTAAAAGTGCCAGAGAAGTGTATAAAGTTGTAAAATGCTGACGACCACACCAACAAAAGGATGCAAAATTACAGAGAAAGGCGCTACGGTGTCACAGTAGAAATATCTCGTGTTCTGTTTGCAATAAACGAGCTAAACGAATGCAATTTTGAACGCTGGGCTTTCAGAGGCTTACCGATAACGGACTTTGGCATGAGTCATAATGTGTGACTTAAGGTTTGTCGACTGCGCAAAGCGCTTAGAACAGCCCTCGAAGGGACACATGTATGGACGATCCCCAGTGTGAATACGCACGTGAGTCCTGAGGTTGAAGTCCAGTGAGAACCGTTTTCCGCAGCCCTAAAATGCAAGATGTGGATAGTAGGCACTCTCCGATGGGAACAGAGCATCTGAGTGAGACTGGGATTGATGACAGGCAGGAAGTTCAACGTTATTCAATGCAATAAAAGTCAGGCCTATTGACCACATAGTGGAATATCGTACAGAGGGGTGTAACGCACAACCCTAACTGAGGGAAACGTGTGAATTAGTTGCATGACCTTCTAGTTTGTCCTGGTGGACGTGACATAAGCGGCATGTGACAACGAATAAGAGGTGCGTACGGGTAGAGATGAAATTTTAAATACTTGGTGCATTGTAGGGCAGGCCGAGTATGTCGGCTACGTCGCCGACGTTTAGGGGCCATATCTGAAGAAGTTAAACTTACTAAGTTGAACTTTGTGTTGTGCGTTGGATGTCTAGAATACCACCACAGACAGTAAGACCCGGGGCGCTCGAAACCAAACCATATAGTTATAAATGCTATACCAGATACCGCAAAGTGTGCCACGATGTTTCCGAGAGCTGGGACGACAGTGCTTCCGCCAGTGGGCGGAGTGTAAAGCACACAAATCTAGCGCTTCTTCCAGGAGTTTCAGGCTCAGCTTTAGGAGTTTCGACGTGCATGACTACGATATCGAAGTAACCGGCGTTGCTCAGCATTAGGTTGTTCGACTGGCATCCAAGGACGGGATTGTAAACTAGGAGATTGCGGAGAAGCAACCGCGCCAAGCCCAAAAAACACACTTGGCGTCACAGTTGAAACCGCTTGCCCGCATGGTCACACACCCACGTCAGTAAAGGAGCACAATTACCACCATGATTGCATCTACCAATGCACCCACACAATTAGTGAAGAGCACCGTAGGGTCCTTTGTATCGACCTGTCTGCCTTTGTGCTTGGCGGCAAACACGATCAGACAGCTAGGACGGAACAGTGCAGCTCATAAGGGCGCCGACAGTTAAGTACTTGAACTGGTTTCTCGTCAAAATTCCAAAAAAGGAAGTCGGGACCTGCCAGCGTAGTCAACAAAAAGCCGACACACATCTAAATTGACTACGCTTCCATGTAGACAAGCCCACCTACAACTTTAAACAAACACTAACAATGTGAGCGGTCGGGAGAAAGGCTCGGTGTGAAACTAAGTTTCATATTGAAACTTCTGACACTGGCGTAGATCGCAGTCAGGTGAAGTGTAGGCTGACACCCCACCTGAGTCAATTACGTTTTTCGGGGGTAAACCAAAGTTTGTCTTGGAAATTGGGTACTCCATTGCTTCAAACGGTCGGGCGAAGGCTCATCGATACGCAGTCTCGGAAACCTGCGTCTTTGGAGAATTCACCAGCCAAACAATCAAGACTTAAAAATAATGTGCTCTCTAAAATTGCCTCGCGACTCAATCCAGCAACCTGGAATGAGGACTAACTCAATTCCTCATCCAAAGTCAGGTCTTGCGCACTGAGCTACAGGCAGGAGGCCGTAAGAGCACAGAGACGGCACTTCCTTACACCGACCTTACACGTTTGTAGTTAAGTTTTGATGCCTGTTAGCAGTAAATGATATTTCTTTTCTATCAGTTCGGCCGCTTTAAACGACCATGTATACAGTGTGCAGCACAACAGGACGGCGACCTGCGCGTGAATTAGTTTATGGTGATACAAGACTGGCGCAGCATTCACCGGACTCCTCTCTTTCACTCATCCATCTGGACCTGGCGGCAATACAAAATCCGGATGACCGAGGGCGGAATCGGCCGGTCTACCCGTGTCACACCCGACCTCGTCTGCGTATGACGAATCAGGTTGTTAGAGAAATTGGTGGGGACGGTCCATATCCCATCTGAGTTGGAGTGCCATAAGGGTCATATTCGGGAGGTACATTTCGGCTTAACTCTGGAAGGTTCGAGTTGCCCTGTAGGCCGGCAGCCATCGATATCACGATTTTTAGCGTGCCAAGGTAGAGTTAAACGCGTCAGATGTTTTACAGTAAGGCTCGCGTCAAATGTGCCGTAGGGATGTGTTTCGCAGTGTCGACCTCCCTCTTTCTTTCCTCTCCTGTGCACCAGTCTGCTGTCTGAGCCGGCCAATCATCTGATGCTGAGATTGGGCAGAAGTGGCTGACAGAGTTTAATAGCCTTCTAGGCGTGCCGCGCACGATCTGGTCTCCGCACAACACACCAGACTTTCACAAAAGGAAATGATATTCTACAGAACTGATGGACAAACATGCGTTTTAACAGGAAAGTGGTCCCCTAATTTGGAACTTAAGAGCGTTCTTTCGATTTTCCAAAGCTTGCAATCATAAGAATGTTTGATACTGCATATTGCTGTGGTTCCCTATTGGTGATCACAAAATAAAGTAATTGACTTGTGCATATTGAAACATTTGATAAGGGGCACAAGTCCATAGAAATCTATGCCAGTTAAAATACAAAACAGCTAATTTCTAAACCCCATGAAGTGAGAAAATCTCCCTTTTAAAATATGCAGATACTAGAGAAGACTTGAGAGTGCAGCTTCCCGTACAAAGTATGATAGAATTTATAAACACACCGACAACCAATAAGAGGTAGGGATGACTTATGTGGCCCCCTAAACGGGACATAGGGAATAGGTACGTCCCGCTTAAGTAACAAAGATGGACTTGCACATAATTCCGGAAAGGGCGAGATATTGCCGTGTCCTAACTCCAACAATAATCCCAGTATAAATATAAAACTAAACCTAACCCTAAACCTTAACTCTGCAATTAGCGCTAGCTCCTACCTTAACCCCAAACTCAATCCTGAATTACCCTACGGTTAACTTTAAAACTAGCCTAAACCTGATCCTTGACCTAACCCTAATTTCACTGCAAGTTGGCTCAAAGCCATCCGTATGGCAGGCGGTTCCTGTTCTCATATCCTGTTTAGGGGAGCACATAAGTTAGTCCTACCCAATAATAACACAACTTTGCAATTATTTGTTTTGAATCACCATGTTGCCGCGAGACAGCTGACTTGTGATTAGGGTAACAGCCAACCACTTCTGCGACCGTATCCAAGAGATCATTATGACTCATGTTTCATGAGTCTCTGTGCACATTGTAGTCTGACGCAATAGTCTGCGAATGTGTCGATAGAAAATACAGGAAAGCATGAAACACACACAACAGCAAAAAGATGACTGCGAGATATCATGCAAGGTCAGTATACGGCATCTGGTCTTTAAGGATCCACTCATCCATCTTCAAGACGCATACAGCGTAAATAGCTGCCCGTTTGGATGAGAAAGATAACCGTTTATGATCGTTTTAGACCTACTGAAACTAACCCCAGCAAAAAGGTCTGTTAGGAAAAGGGTTTTGCCTGATCGGTTCGCAGTGAGTGGGCATTGTAGCGGTGGCTGGGAGACACGGCATCAGGGGTGTTGGCGTTCACAGCTAATTCGTAGCATGATTTTGTTGAGCTCCCATAACCTGCCCGAACAAATGTACTGACCACCCGTAGGAAACTTATTTACTGACTGAAATCTCAAAGTCATGCAGGCCACCATAGCGAATATAAATCAAAATCTAAAGGAATATATGGCTTCTTGAATAGGGGGCATGACCTCTGCGCGCGACTAAAGCAAACCAGTAATGATCGTGGCTTCTGCGCGTTTCTAGTGCATCGCAGCGGGGCCAGGTTTTTAAAATAAACCGGCGGCGCTGAGTGAGATGCTGTGGACAGAGATCAAGCGGCCTATTTGGGAAGCCATCGAACACTCGTATAAATGAATTGAGCACCCTGGTTTCTGACAATTGGTTGAGACGCCGGCTAACTGGCAAAACTGTCTCGAGACCTCCTTCACCTCATAATCTTGCCAAAGAATGTGAAATCTAAACCTGATTAATTAGACAGGGAAAGCCGTCATAGTCGGAGAACTGGTTATGCATGTAGGCCCCAAATAGCGACAGCAAACCGAAAAGCAAGACGCGTTGTGAGTAACGGCTTCCAAAGGCCTGATCCCAAAATCAGCATATGGCAACTTGGTACATCGGCCCCCCAATTCAAACAACACTCGCTCGACCAATAATAGCCCATGGCCTTCGGAGATAACTCACTAGTCGCCTGGCCCAAGTGACTGGCTAGCTGACTGGCATCTAGTAGTGTGCAGCAGGTAGCGGACGACGACAACCAGCCCATACTGCGTCAAACGCCTAACCTCCAATGTACAAGCATTATTGGACGTCGGTAGATATTCAAAACACCACATAAAAAAACGAACCTTAGCAATTGTCTCTCTAAAGCCTGGTGGCAAATTCTGTTCCGCACTACGCGGAAATCCCTTGGGCCTCCGGCAACCGTGTAAATACACGAACCGTATACTTCAACGTGATAAGTAACTTGGGGCACTCTGCCCAAGGGTAGAGGCACTTGTACATGGAGGTGACAATATGCTAATGCTATTCCAACCAAAAGACAAACGCGTCTGCCAGCTGTGGAAAAATAACTTTATTCGCATTGCTTCAGCAGACTAAGACCGTTGAATTAGCAAGGCTCGAGGCAATTTAGGAATAACTGTTTGCAAACAATCCAAATTAATCAGTTACACGAAAAAATTGCCGCTCTCAACGGCTGGTGGTCGTGTTTTATTGGCCTTGAACCTGAATTATCCGGTTGGATTGTAAAGGCCCGTCTGCACATGCCATTCGGCAGTGGAATATCAGCATTCAGTGACTTTGGGGTCTCACCGTTATCAGGTCCTACTAGTTACGACCAGGACCAGGAGGTTCTCTATCATGTTTTGCATTCCGACTTCCAATTCGCGAGAAGGGCTGCTTATTCCGGCGAAATATAAACGTTAGAACAATTAAGATGCACCAGCAGAGCAGGTACTGACTCGATGATCTCCAACCACGCCTCCGCAATAACCCGACTGCGCTTGCGCATTCAGTTGACAGATCGAATCAAAATAAGCCTATGGCGAAACATGTAAAGCACTGATCGGAACCATTAAGTAGTCCTTTACACAGATGATACAACTCGAAAGCGGTTGGCAAACTGAGACCGTGAGATTTCGGATTTCCTGTGGGAATCGCCTTAGTCATTTCTGTCGGTCCCAGTGCATAGATTCACTTGAGATTACATTCTATGCTTATCACGACCACGAACACAGTTGAGTAATGTTTTCCACTTGGAAGAGCATTCATATATTTTGGCTTTAATTTCGAGTTTCAGTGCAAAATAAACCCTAGTGTTGTTTTCGGTCAGCTGTCATACACCTCACTTGAAACGCCTTCGTGAAATTGCGTCGAAACTGCTCGCCCCGGTTGAAGGATGGTCGAAGGAATGCACATAAGAGGTCGGACACAGCTTCGATCAAGCAGTCGCTTGGTGATTATAATTAAGTCGACCTAACTGCACACCCCGACAATTAACAGTAACGTAATAGAGATGGCAAGGGATCTTACTGCCACCAGGAAACATGTTGAGACATGCATCCGGGTCAAGTATGGCCATCGCAACAGATTACAACCAGCCCACGGTCATCTACTTGAGCATCGGTAGTGAAACGCGGGTATTCAGCATTCGTTAATGGAGCAAGACCTGCAGGTGAGGAGGGGGGGGGGGCTAGATAGGTATGAATGCCGTCACAACCACAATCCCGACAAAACGGGAGTGCAGGAAACGTCGGTTTCACTGACAAACTGTCTAATGTCTTTAATTCCTCTCATGGGCAACTGCAAACTGAGAAGTTCAGCGACGAATCGTCGGGGTTTTAGATCTGTATGAGCAAAATAGCCGGTCTGTGCTAACAATTAAGATATGTGCCACTAAGTAATTCATAGACCAATGATGAATCAGATAGGTTTCTCAGACCTTTTTGTGGCTAACATAATGTGGAGCTTGGATAAGCACTTGCCACATCTGTGTATAAACTACCGACAACCAAATGCTACGCAACATGGGAGATAACTCCAAGAAAAACAAAGTAAGAAGGAACTAGGACATACCTCAAAGGTGCACTGGAATGGCTTCTCACCCGTATGTACTAACTGGTGACGCTTGAGTTTACTAGATTCCACAAATGCTTTGCCACATTCTGCACAGACGTGCACTCGAGGACCATGCGTATGAAGGTGTTTGCGCATAGCCGAATTGTCCCGAAACAGCTTGCCACAGTTCTTGTGCGGACAGAGAACTGTGCGCAAGGACTGGTTTAAACTAGAGCCATTGGAGTGTGAGGCTGACCGTTCGGGAGAGGGTTGCTGATAGGTTATGCTGCGAAGGGCTGCGTCGCGACGACGTATGGCGTGGACCGTCATGTTCAAAAGGCTGGACTGAAGCTGGGACTTCGCGCCGAAAGGAATTTGGTTGCAGGCGAAAGCTGAAACAGCAGTAAACAAAGAAAGGGTGTAATGGAGTTTACTCCAAGAAAAGTAACACAATTCACTAGGGGCAATATTTCGACGAATTCGTTCTTTTGTCGGTATCCCCGACAAGATGACGCGAAAATCCCTAAACACTTCCCAAGTAGTTGTACAACGGCAGCCTAAGTCTGGAATGTTGCACTGAAAGTATGAGCGGAAAATACTCGCTACCTTCGCTAAAGCGAAAGAGACGACAAGTCGAAAACCGCCTCTCTAGACTCAAATTAACTATACACTTTGCGTACAGATGACGCCCACGTAGAGCATTCGTGATTTAAAATCTCGGCACGACAGACTTCTGTGTCCGTACTAAGTAGTGAACGCGGTCTCGAAAGATACCTTATCCTGACTATAAAACGACAGAAGATGAAAAATAGGGATGAAGTGTTTTTATACGTGTGAAGAAAACTGCCTTGCGCATGATGGCCAAAACTAAAAGAACTGGGGCCTAAATAGTAAAAGTACATATAAGAACGTCACGTCTCCTACACATATAGGTTGTTAATGACTAGTAGGCGTCGATTAGTAAACAAAATGGCTAATTTGTGCTTGGCACCAGGGAGACTACACCGACAGAAATCTAAAAGAGGCACCGCAGGATGAGCACACTCAACAGGCGAATTAGACATCAACAGCGTTAATACTACCCGATTATAGACAAAGCACGTCCACTACGAAGACTCACCATCCGGAAAGATGTCAAACTAGCCTAAAATTCCTAACGTTGCTATCACAAAGCAGAGCAAAGAAAAACCTTGAGGGGGGACCTATGACTTAGAGCGGCCGTTGGCAAGCTATGGGAGAAAAGGTTTCGGCTGCCTAAACTTATGAAATCCGCTTTTTCTCGCATCGAAAATACACCCAGCATTCGCATGGCGCCATTTCGTCCTTTGTGAAGTATACCAGAAGGACGAGCTTATCGGCTTATCCTTCGAAGTCATCGGGTAGAAATCTCAGATAAGGCAAATGTTTCAGTTACGGGACTTCGTGCGGTCACCGTCATACCAGTGTCTACATTTTGGCCGACGTAACCATCTAGGAAGAGTCGACTTGGCTTAAAGAGAGGAACAAACAAGTGTCCCCGACACTAGGTCAACTGCCTTGTTAACCACAGAATCGGATCCATCCGGGGAAGCCTGGTTAAGTCCGTCATCATAAAATAATTTGAAAAACACTGAAGTAACGAACAAGTAGTCGTGAGAGCAATCCACGCCGCTGCGGGTAAAATATGCAGGATGCTATGAGCTAGCAACCAGTTGGACAACGGGAAAACAGCTATATTATGACAGCTCCTTCGTGGGGCCCAGATGGCAACTCCTACATCAGAATTCAATTCCGAGCTACAAAGCGCGATCTAAAAACGCGGCGATACAAGAACTAGCCTGCGCTGCCTGGTCTCCTTCCCAGTCGTCTTTATTTACAATTTCGAAATGTGGTAAAGAGGAGAGAGTAAGGGCAACGACAGCTCTCGTTGAGAACGGCGGACGAGTTACAAATGCAATTTTCAGAAATTCGATTTTATGGACTCTTAACAACCCGTAGGACCGTGAATGTGGGCGCCTAGCTACCCTAATCCGCTGAATCCAGAGTGGTTAGCTGCCCTCTTCAAAAGGCTTAGCACAAACAACAAGAATATTTCAGAATGGTATTACCGACAAAGACAGGGAAATATCTCTGCCTTGCCTGTTACGCCACGTAGTATGACTTTGAGATGGATGTGCCGAATACTCGCGGACAAAAATGTCAAGGATTTTCGCCGAAGACGCATACTTTATTCGGGGAGTTGATCAGCCACGTGCTTGACTTGTATCAGCAAATAGTGTGAGGACTCAAGACTCAGGGTATGTTGTGAAATCACCGTTTTATATATCCTGCTAGTCAACTACATATATCAGTGCAGATGGTCAGGCGCCATGGCAAGGATTCCATCACAGTAAGGGGTTTTTTGAAAATGAATTGGGACGGCACTGTCTGAGCTTCCTGCCGGCCTAAAGGAACCTCATAAAAACAAAATACGCGTCGTAGGACCCTTCGGAAGTCGGCATGTCGAAGGTTAGCCACGACCTACGTGGCATGGGTCATTCTCCTATTGAAGACGTCGACCATCGTACAGGGTAGTTTTATATGACTTGAACAGGACACTAATCCACCAGCGTCCGTGGCCCCTGATTTTCGGTCATTTGACCACGTCCGATCGGTTTATCTAACTTAGATCGAACTGGGGAGATTGAATTCGTTTGCGTGCGACACTCGACGAACCCAAACCTGAATCTGCAGGATGCAAACAACCACGAAAGGCTGAGATTAAAAAGGGTGAATACTGGACGTGGTTAGAAAGTGATAATTAAGTGCGGCACCAAAGTACATGGTTAAGGAACGTTTTTATGATAGACTTAACAGAACCCCATAAGCAGCTACTGCTAATGAAAAGTGATAGGAAACATCACACGTTGTTTTACTACCAGTGGCTCTGGCGGCGTCATTTAGTTTAGATTTGAATGGGCAAACTTGGTGACACAAGTATATTAAAATGGAAGCAGATACTAGTAGATAAAGATCTCCTAGCAATTTAAATTCCTTTGCACACGTCTCAAAAAGGAAAACTTTACCATTCGCACCTCGTGGCAATATCCGGCGTTCATAACCATCGGGCTCACGCTTCATGGGGATCATTCGGCGGGTGGAACCCAAGTGCGCACGCGTCAGCGAGTGGGTCCGCATGGAGAGATCGGGGTCCAGTTTGGCGATGACGATATCCGAATTTCCCTGAGAAACTGGGCCATCAAAGGACGTTGGAGAACTAATACTGCGGGCGCAATAAGTTTGCTTTGAAGGCAGAAGCCGATTCTTCGGCCAGTAGATAGTACGGTCACTTTCTGCCACTGGAGAGTTCGTCACTGGCAAACAAAAGTCCTCAAAGTCTGAACTATCACGATCATCAGAAACGCTAGTCGGCTTCAGGAACTGTTTCTTCTTAAGTTTCTTTTTACGTGCGCTCCGCCGAGGACGCTCAGGGGTAACGGGAAGAGAGTCGGAATTTCTAGGTACAGGGATTTCCTCTGCACTCTTAGATGATTCACTTCCAACGATCTCTTCGCGAACTCCTAGGAGGTCATTTGGGTCCATGAGAAAGAGATCGCCGTATGCATCTTTTCCTGAGCCGAAATCATTGCCTTCGTTGCTGAATGGTAAGTCTGGCAGTTCCGTTTGTAGGTCCTCAGGTTTCGGGTCAAAAAAATCGGATTTTATATTCGATTCATCATCCTCAAATGGTACGACTTTCACTCTGTTATCAGTGAATAAAATTTCGGCCATATGAACCGTCGTCAGCCGACAGTTTACCATACAAACCCACTTAAACGCAGAAAAGCCGAAATTCTAGTACGAAGCGTTTGCGTTTTAGACCGGTTGTTGTCATGCTTGTTAATTTAAACAATAGGATCTCAGTTTTGAAATCGCTCACGCTGAAGAAGATTAACCTAGCGCGCCGTGGAAAGGATTTATTGATACTGTTTGTGTAAAAATGCAGTTGCTTAGTCTACTGAAGTAAATAAAATCGGTCTTCAGACAAATTATATATTGTCATCCAGCGAAGTTGTGAATTAGCGCTTAGCCCAAGCCATGCACTAATAAGTGCCCAGTCGGCTTCTTCCGGGCAAAGGACAAATGGGTGAACGAGAACGTTATAGCATAGGCGCGTTACAATTTTCTGACTAAAGCAAAGACTGGCGGTTTGGTCAATCACATTTGGGGGGGTGCATAATTACATATTTTCAGAGATGTTATGTGTATTACTGAACCTTGGACTTATTCACTGATTTATTCTCAGCGCTCACTACAAATAATTTCAGGTTGTTCAGACAAAACCGTGTTGACAAACGTGATGGGGGTTGTCTCATCCATACTAGAGTTTTAAAATTAGAGCTGTAAGGTCTTATCGACAAGGACAAGGGAAGCTGGCCATTGTAGGCAATACTGTTCTCCCTATTTTACGCCCTGTTGTACGGCTGCTGGGGTGGCTTGGGAGAAATCTTCAAGGCATCAGGCGGGTGATTTCCGTAACGCGATCGATGAGCGGCCTTCTGCCATCGGAGCTTCCCACCGTTTTTGGGAATATCTGTTTCGTTTCACTTACCCTCTTGTGAAATAGGAAGACAAAAAAGTTTGTCTACAACATATACATACCTCGTCAATGTTGCTATGAAAACTAGATCTGTGAACCCCTTGAGAAGGTCGCAGCGACTAAGTTTGACGTTTTGTTTGTCGGAAATTGACAAGCAATTTAATAACTTTCCTCCTAAACTTCGGACTTTGGCGTTTGCTAATCAGTTATAATAAAATAATAATGATTTTTACTCAAGGCCCGTGGGGGTCCGTTCAAGCTCGTCTCACCTAATCCACCCAGAGACTTGAACCAATACCATACTATGCTTAATTTATGACAATGACATCCACCCTTTATTTATGTTTATTTTCGATTTTCTCTTCATTTTCTCGTGCACCTGAAATTATCCCTGTCTTTGCTTGAATATACTAAAATACACACAACAACATGTTTTGAATTGCGACAACATACTATCTGACTTTACTGCTGTTTGCTGTTGGAGGTTCGTAAATCACGTCTATGCGCCTCAATCCGTTCCAGCCAAGCGAGATAACCCCATGGGAATGACTTCCTAGCCACAGCTTGCCGAAGGTCGATCCACTATGGAGACGTGCACCATCAACAAGGCCAATTCAGGATTTAAGAGAGTTACCAAAACGGCCCTCACTTTCTATAACAACCCTCTACCAGATATGACTTTGTGTTCCGCGAGTCTGTACCCTAATTCGGTTTCGTTACTTGTTGCCATACATTTCGCGTCGTTTCTGCCTGGGTCAAGCACAACATCCCCACTTATATATAAGTTCAAGTCAGCTTATAAAGACAATGAGGCTTTCGCCATTGGGCTCCCTATTCATATTGATAAACAGAAATAAAGTCATCAATTACATCAGCAATTGCGTAAATTCAAAAGTTAGCGCTAAGTCTGAGCCAGGCGTAAACTGTCGCCGCCAAAACAATTGTGATTATATGTACAGTAGTTTCTCAGCAAATGAGCATCTAGTCTTTTGCTTAAGGATTTGACAATTTCGCAAAGAACCACCGCGTCAGGAAGTTCGTTCCATGTCCCAATGGCCCTGTGAGAGAAGGCGTTCCGTCGGACGTCTGAATGAGCCAACTCCCTCTGCACTTTGCAGGGATGACCAGGCGGACAGTCAGCCCCGGCCAATTCGAAGAATTCACCAAAGTCTAGGGCGCATACTCGACCTCTGAAAATCCTGTAGATTTGAATGAGATCGCTGCGCTGTTGCCCTTAACTGAGAGAAAATAGATTCAGTTTGGCCAGTGTGGTTTCGTAGGGTAGATGATCGAGATTCTTGACCAGCTTCTAGCCATCGCCAGTACTCTTTCCAGTTGTTGATAATCTTTCTTCAACCACGGTCGCTAGGCCTGGACGGCATATCTAAGTGAGTCCGGACGAATGCCCCATAGGTTTTCCAGAATAGCAACTTATCGATTTAAACAAATCATCGCCTCAGTGCAAATAACACCCTTATCGCACGTTTGGCTGCCTTTTGACACTGTGATGATGGTTTTAGCGAGGAGGTCATTAGGACGCCCAGGTCTTTCTGTTCCACAACATTTGAAAAGGGCTGCCCACCAAGGACGCATTGAAAGGAATCGTTCTACCTACTGGACCTCCCGGTGCGGAGTCTCGGGACCACGTATGTGTCCAAATTAAAATCGAGGAGCCAAAGAGCTGACCCAAGTTTGGCATGGTCAGCGAACATGGCGCGTTGCAAACCAGGTCGTCGATGAAGTTGTTAATGTAAACAAGGAATAGCAACAGCCCTAGTTCTGAGCCCTGGGGCCTTCACTTAGAACGGCGGTAAGAGTTCTAATAAAAATAGTAATAATGAAGATAATAAAAACAATAATAATAATAATAATAATAATAATAATAATAATAATAATTGTATTTAGTGCCAGTTTACAGGCATTGACAGGGGAGCGTTAAAAACTAATCGGGCCAGCCATGAAAAAACTCCAATCATAAAGGAATAAAAATAAAGTTCATGGTAGATTTTGTAGTTTGGATTGTACAAAAAAAACTGCTGAGCATGAAATACCGACAGTCAAGAAAGGGAGGGGTAGCACTATATCAGATACTATCAGTCGACAATATCTTTCATGAAATCGGGGCAGGTCCAAACAGAAGTGGGTCAAAAAATTGACCCTAGTGAGACCCGCCAGTGATATCAGACAACAAAAACGCCATCGCTACCGTAGAGTCGATCAGTGGATTCAGCACCCAAAATTTGTGGGAGTTTTGCTGTATGCAAAAATCGAGTAATAGTTCTCTTAAATAAAGGGTCTTGTGCAGAGTTTTCACACTCATGGGTAATTTATTCCAAATAGCAATTGCATTTACAGAATAGAACCAACGATATTTAACAGTACGTACCAGAGGAAGAAATAAAAAGACCTCACGGTGACTGTTATGTCGTGGGTGGATATGATGTCTTAAAGAGGTGAGTGGGTTAAATGTGTGATTATATAAGAGTTTAAATAGCAAAAATAGTCCCGTTTGTAATCTACGGCGCCATAAAGGATCAAGGCCCGTAAGCCGGCAACGTTCTTGGTAAGACGAATGTCGGTGTTGCAGGGTCTCTTGGTAAAAAGGTGTTCAACAGATTCTATTTTTCCGCTCAGCAGCACGCATAAGGCTAAATAAAACGAACAGTATTCCAGACCAGGTCTAACGTACATGTTGAAAAGGCGCATTCTAATGTCCTTAGTTTTAAAGTTTCGGAGGATAAACCCGGTCGTTCTACGTGCTTTGGAGACTGTCAAGGCCCAGTGCTCCGAGAGATTGAGACACTTGGAGTATGATACGCCCAGATCCTTAATAACCTCAGGCACATTTATGGCGTGACCATCAATGATTAGTTGAGGGTGGCGGTCGTCGCCAACAACCATGACTGTGAATTTATGCCAAGAAAGAGAAGGGCACCAAGTGCGGCACCACTGGGCAAAGACCTGTAGGTCGCTGTTTAGGAGTTCAAGCACGGTGTCATGATCTGCCGGCTTATATTGATATGCAACTTTCAGATCATTGGCATACATGAAGGGCTTACCATTCTGAAATAATCCCTGTACATCGTTAACAAAAAGACAAAATAAAAGCGGGCCGAGTACACTACCCTGAATGACACCACTCCTCACACATGTAGGGTTGGAGATAGCATTGGAAATTTTAACTCGTTGTGTACGAGTGCCCAAGTAAGAGGATGTTAAATTCAAAAGTGTCTCACCTATTCCAAAAGAGGACAGTTTCAAGAGAAGAAGAGCATGGTCAACACGAACAAACGCCTTAGTGAAATCGAAATATACTGTGTAAAGTGCAAAACCATTGTCTCTAAATTGGAGAGCATAGTCAAAGAAAGAGAGTTGACAGGTTTCACAAGACCGAACTTTGAGGAATCTATGCTGAGCAAGACACAGTAGGTTATTCCCTGTTAAGTGACACATCTCATCTTTGATCAATATCTCTAAGATCTTCGAAACTGCGCGGCGGGTATTTATAGGCCGAAAGTCATCAAATAACGTAGATTGGCCATGCTTGGGAATGGGCAAATTGTATGATTCCTTCCACAAGGTAGGATAGGTTTCACTTTCAAAAGCGTGATTAAATATCTTGCATAAGAGGGATGGAAAATCGCATTTGCATCGGCTTTTAAAATGCTTACTGGGACACCATCAGCTCGTGGGCTATGAGATTGACGAAAAGGCCGAATCGCAACAGTCACATCCCACACAGTGGAAGTTATAGTTTCGAGAACTGTCCTGGTCAATGACTGGATGGTCGGAAACGGAGTGGTCGAGTCTTCAATAAACGTTTTGGACAGGAAAGCATTGAAGCTATCAGAGATTAACGGGGCATCAACTATGGGATTTCCGAGAGCGTCTCAGAGGATGGGAAGCTGCGTCTTTCACCGAGTTCGTCTTTTCGGTCTTCAGTGAATTGGACCAGACAATCTCTAACCTTGCTCAAAAATAACATAAATCAAGGGCAGAAAAGAAACGTCGTTCTGAAGATGGAATCGACGATAAAGCCCGCGCAACCAGCGACGAAAGGTTAAGGGTAGGAAAACCTCATCCCCAAGATTAATAATTTTCTTACGGGGGACAAAACGAGAAATACGCGGATCCAAAATTTCGCACAGTTTGGCAGTGCAAACACCCACCTCCGAAATAAGGAAGAAATCAC